CTACGAGAGAGCTCAACTCTTACATGCCTGGTTCATCACCTAATCAGGGCAGGGTGGCGAGTGCACCTCATTGGTCACTTGGCCACACCTGAGTCGAATGCTCACAGCCTTGTGACATTCACCTCTCGGGGAGCTTTCCACCAGGTGACATGGATGGAGTGATTCCTCGTGGCAACGTCACCACTCTACAATCATCTTCCACTTTGATCTGTGTGTAATATGTTTGTTGAATGTTGTATTTTTTTGGATATTATGTAGAAGGAAAAAAAGAAAAAAATAGACTAAGTAGAAGAAGAATAACTAAATATGAAATGAGATAGAAATAGACAGTTTGCACAGTATACATGAAATTGATGATTACATGTTCTTTTTATTATCACTACATGTTGGTTAATGATATGTAATGAGGTCATTGTAACAAAGGTGGCATGCCATTGAGGCGGCTTATGCCCTTTCTGACACTAACAATTCCATGTGATATGCACAGTGTAAAAACTCAAGTGTCAGGTCAACGTGCCCACACAAAAGATATCTTGTATAGAGTGGATAAGAGCTTCAAATGATCTTTAGCACCATGCACAGACAGCCCTTCTTGAGTTCCTCAGGTGGTGAGATCGTTAGACATAGGAAGTCTGATATCCTTTCTTGAGATTAGAGGGGTGCTGGAATTTCACCAAAGTCTGATAAAGAAACTGCATGAAGCTTTTTTCATTTTTTTTCCAAACCTCTCCGTGTGTGCACTTCGACATGCCATAGTAAAATGGACGCTGTGATGAGAGATATGACAAACAAAGATGATTTGTCAGTACAATGTCTTGATGCTGCATTCAATTCTGCTTCCATCACCTTGTCTTGCAGATATATGGCTGTCCTTTTTGGTTTTTCCATAGCATGCAGAGGTGGCTGAATGTTGAGACTATTTGATATCCTCAACATTGGTATTGCTGAGTCCTTCCTCAAATCCCCACATCTTAATACTAAATAAGTGGACCACTTGCATGAGCTCTGGTCCCCCCCTGTTCTCCATTGTTCAGGTCAGTGTTTGCATTTCAGCATTGTTTTCCACTTGGTTAACTTTTCCTGGGTAGCTTTTGTTCTTTCGTCCTGTTGTTATGTTAAGACTTCTTCATGGTCTGCTTGTATTGTCAGGCTTTCAAATGCACTTTGACAGTCAAATCTTTGTCAACCCAACCTCTGTGCCTCCATCCAATTAGCCTATAAAATGATCATCTTTTGTATGCAGTTCATGTGCTTTTCATTGTACGTCCATGTTTTTTGTTTTGTCTAAATTCATACACCATTGATGGAATTTTCTTGGTGTTGATGCAGTCCATGTATCCTTCAGATCAGCCTATACAGTCATTCTTTCTGCATTATTTAGATTCATGTACAAGTGCTACAAGTGCTTTTGAACATGACTTTGTTGTCTCCAACTTCTTACGTAATTCACATGCTTTTCATTGTACATTCTCATGCTATACTTTTTGTTTTGTCAAATTTCCCATGCAGCTCACAATCTTTTCTTTGTGCTTATGCAGCTTAATCTAATGCCACCCTTTGTAACTTTTTGTTATATAGTGTACTAATAAAGTTGAATGCTTTTTTTGTTTGATCCTCATTTTGGTATATCACTATATAAAGCATATGATATTACTGTCTTTCCAAAATAAATCCACATTTAACCCCACAGAAATCATCAAAAATTATGTATAAGCAGGCCTTGTTGTAGTTGTAAAAATGACAAGATGTATTTTGATTTGGGTTAAAAAACTAGTGTATGATCAAGTTTAGAGTTACATTCAAGATTCCCTATTGTGGTGAGTGCACTAAGTGCTGGGATTTTGAGTAGAGATAATAAACAGGATTGAATTTATGTTGTATGTTGTTCTGAAGTTTGGGTAATTCCTTGAACCACTAACCTGACCATCCAAGTAATTTAGCAATTAAAATGGTGCAGGCACACCCACATATTCTCTAGTAGTCACAAAAGCAAGTAATACAAGTATATGTATCATTTGATCAAACCCTGCTGAAGTTCCTCTCATATCCCAGGCCCTCCTATCTTGAAGGAATAACCAGGGAAACATGAGAACCATAATATAGCATAAGGTGTTGTGAGAAACAATATGCTTTATTGAAGGTCTGACTCTTCTCCCCTATCTCTTTTTGCTATATCTTCTGTTGGTCTTCATTATAAGGTTGGCGGCCAAAATTGTGATTGATTGAGAATCTTGTCATCTTTTTAGTCTTATCCATAATTAGAAATCCGCTTTCAATGTCTAACACAAAGTCTTTTGAAGCTTCTGACAATATGTGGCAACAATGTCAGAAAAAAGCTGATTCATTCCCTTGAACTTCAGCCATTCTTAATCCCCGAAAACTTCTTAGTGACTCAAAATATTTCACATGGTCTGCTGATGTCAAGAGCTGCCTTGAACACTGCGTTTGTATCCTTGTAGCACGTCAACGTGCGCACACCAAGTAGTTTCCTGAGACACTTGACAGACCTATTGACACTGCAAAGATAATGTATTTCTCCAAGGTGAAAAATGATTACATTTAATGTACAAAATGATTAAAAATGCATTAATTCTGCATTAATTCTGCATTTTTCTGCCTTCATTCTGCATTATTAATCATTTTGTGCATTATATGTAATCATTTTTCACCTTGGAGAATTACATTATCTTTGCAGTGTGAAGAGGTTTCACAACAGACACATATTCCCTTTATAAACTGGGATGTTGGCAGTCAGTTGACCCCATCTGATGACAAAGGATTCTGTGAATCCCATAACTAAATCATTGTTCACAAAGGGTGCACAAGAACAAGCTCAGTCTAAATCTGACTGAAAGACTTTCAAATTTATTTTGAAACTCTCTGTGTGTGCACATTGACGTGCTCCAAGGATATTGACACGGTGGAATCCCTTGGCTATGAAATGTACTTGATTTTAGATGACAATGAACTTGGGACGGATGAGATTTTGACTTCACTCAATGGGGTTACCAATGGCTGCATTGCAGTGTGGATACTGCAATAAATGGATGCAACCAACAAATCTCAATTTGAATCAAATGTCAGAGAACTTGGCTTGGGGTTGGTACTCTGTTTTAACAAAGGGGGATATTTGAAGGTGAAGGTTCAGACAAAGCAAAAGAAATTGGTATGGAGAAACCATAAGAGAGGAAGTGCACTAGACTAGCCACTCTCAAAAACAGACAGCAAAGAAATAAGTTAGACAAGTTATGTCTTTTGACATGAGTGGTACTTCTTTTCATCATGTCATTGTCATTGTTCTTCCCTTCCAGAAAATTCATAAAATTAAATTTTTCCATTTCATCCATCTGAACCTTCAGTTTCAACTCTATCAATCAGTTCATTCCAATACAGATATTACATTTAGTTATCAACTTAACCTTGACAGTTATACTCCACAAACACTATTTATCTCAACCCTTTCATTCAGTTAATGTCTCTTAATTTTTTCTCTTCCCACTCACCATCCCTCTTTGTCAGAAAAAGATCTATAGGGATAGGTATTATTGCACACATTTATACAGGAAAGAGAACAGTGCAGTCATTGGCCCCCCACATGTACACCTGAAAAAATACATCTCTCTCAAATTCTTTTTTCTCTCCTTGCGGTCTAGTAAAAAAATGAAAAAAATGCAATTTGGCCTCAGGGAAAAAAAGGGTAAATCACCATACCAACTGTTTCCAAAACCCCAGCCCACTGGTTCCGCAAACAGGAATCAAGGATTATGCAGCTCAGCAGCTCTATGGAGGATGATTGAAAAATATCATGGCACTTACTCGGATCAGTTGATGTTGTTGCTGGAAGACTGTTTCAATTGAGTCAAAGGTACATCTTGACTAGCTTATCATGATACAAAATTGCACTTGTAGGCTTCATCAGGACCAGTGAGATGCAAGCAAATACCCTCTGAATGAAAGTCAACATTTTGACATATTTTTCTCAAAAGAGCAGGAGCCTGTTTCAAACAGCTTCCAGGCACTATCTGTAGTAAATTGTAGAATCCATCACAAACATAATAGGAGAGTGAGCAATGTATGGGTTAAGTTTGAGTCCATTGGCTTTACCTGCCCTGGCTATGGAACATGAGTTGCATAAATCTGCATATGTATCTATAACACTTCTCTTTCAATTTGACTTTCATCTGCTTCTTTACTTCTTTACAGAACCTAAGTCTGCCACACCGTTGGAGTCAGAATCATGTACCTCTAGACCTGTGGTCTGATGCCATCATCCCCAAGTACGGCCCTTGCATGCAGGGCCTTGAAGTTGTCTTATCTGTTCAGTGCAAAAAGACATCAAGGGCTCAAGAATTGATATCACAAGGACCGCCAGATCCCCCCTTGACGTTGAGGGGGGTTGGAGTCTCGCAGTTGTCTCCAACCTGCATCGCAATTGATTTCCATCTGAGCCTATCTGAGCCGCTCAGATATGCATGGTTCCACCACCTTAGCACAATAAGTCCGAATGAACAGCCCTGCACGTTCAGCCAATCCTCTGAACTTTAGGGAACATAGGGATATTGAAGAGAACCGCAGACTGAGTCTCAGATGCTGAGACCCAGACATTTCACAAATTCACAATCTGACACACACATAACACTTGTATCACACCTTTAATGATATCTCATCTCAGGATCGGTACCTCATCACGGTTCTCCTGTCGGACCATTGGCTAACCGGGAAACCAACCCCCAAGATAGATTTACGCCTTTTGATACATAAATATTTACCTATGGACCTATTCTTAATACATCTCTACATACAAAGCCAATTTGTTAAATAACAAGACATGTTGAACGGCATGGAAAACAAGCAACTTCATCAAAAACTCAAGCGTTAAGTTTGCCCTTCCACCTGAAAGGCTTCATTCCTTATTCCTCTGATGGCAGCCCATGCCCTGACAATACTCTCTTTCCTCTGTGTGTATGATGCAGATCATCTTTTGTCTGCCGAGTGCAACGATGTCCACAAATACCGCGTCAATATTTCCTTCCTACCCCCAGGTGACTCGCTTTCCCAATATCAACCCGCGGTTCCTCGAGAAGCGGTGAGTCGAGTCCATCTTTGTGGGTTGATGCTCCCTTGTGGGCAACCACACCGAATAAGATATTTCAGCGTTCCACTACTTTCACTGCTCCTCGACATGGCAATCTCAATCTCCGAACCTTCTCAAAGCGTAACCGCTCAACCATTCAAGCAATTGAAAACAACATCACTGGCCACTAAGAAATGAAATTTATCATTCTGATTCTAGAATTCCTACTGATGTAGTACGTTTTTTTTTGAAATTCTTTATCAAAGAAAAAGACTTCAAATTTATTGATTCTTTTTTCTTCTTTTGCATTTTCGTTTGGGATTAGAGGAATTGGTACTCCAAAAGAAGATGCAATGAGATGTGATATAACGATCAATGAATTATTTTATAATATGCATAATGATCAAATCGAAGATCAAACCGAATTAGTAATCATCATTTCCTATACATACATTCTACAAATATTCTTAATCTAATAACTGATTCATCTTTATTTGGAATCTTAGGGTTTAGAGGATTTAAAAAACGGTTTGATTAGAACACCTTTACCTGCTTTAGAAACTTTTAAAGATGATCCACTTAGATTATTAAGTTGTATCAGGTTTTCAAGTCGATTTGGATTTCAATTAGATGATCAAATCATTCAAGCTGCTCAATCTGATCAAATCACTGTCAGTATCTTGATCGCATTATAAGAAATTAATAAAACTGGTTTGACAGATTGTTTTTCCTTGCTGGAAACAGATGGCTTTTTAGAAGAAAATTAGTATAGAAAGGATTGGAATCGAATAAAAAAAAGGATGCATGGTGAGCACGTCTTATTTTGATTATTAATCTGGAATCAAAATTATTCATTGGTTTTTGAACATACAGGTCCATCACCATTATTATCAATAGAACTTATTAACCATCTAAACTTATATAACTATATCTTTACGATCCCCAAAAGATTTGAAAATGAAATTTCCACTTCAACCATTAAACCTGATTTATCAAGTCGAATATCAAAAGTGATAGATAAATTTTTAAGGAATGAAGATTTTAATGGAATTTGATTAAATTCAATTTTAAAAGAAACTTTAATTCAATTTAAATCAATCTTATTTATTTCTGCTTCACTTTCTCCATTTTATAATCAGTTTGTTAAAGTTAAACAAAGAGAGAATTGGGTAGGAGAGTTTATAATTTCTGAAAGTATTAAAGTTGAGTGAATCATTTCTCACCTTGAAAGAAACAAAACCAAAAACTGATTTTTGATTTTCCAAAACACCATGTAGTTTTCAAATTATTATAAAACTACTGTTAGTCATTTATTTCATTCAATTGAATTAATTGAAGAAGAAATGAAACATCAAAAAGAACAAGAAGTAGAAGAAAGTTACAAAAGGTTAAGATTAGGTCAATTATTAAGATCTAATCATGTACATGATTTAAATCGAAAAAAATCAAATCAAGAACCTGGAGAAGATTTAAATTTAAATTGGAATTGGAAAGTTACTTTGGTTTGGAATTTGGTTTATAGGATCGGTTTATTAGATTCGATTGGTTTGTTTTATTTTCTAATCTTTTATTTTTTTGGGATGTGATGTGAATTCTGATGGTGATTTTTTTGTTTTGTGAATAATAGATCGAAAAGAAAGTTCTGATTTGGTGGGTTGGTTTAATGATTTAATGAACCAAATTGATTTACTTAATTTAAGTTATACTTTAACACAAGAATTCGATTTAGAACTTTTAAACGTTGAGTAGATTTTCCCTTTTTGTTCTTTATTTCCTCATCTTATTCTCATGCTGCTGAATGAAAAATATCTAATGCCTTCTTGTCTCTTTGCTTTTTTTGTTTGCTTTTTTTCTTTGCTTTTTTTCTTTGCTGTTGATTTTGGATGGCTTTTATTTCGTTTTTTTTTTTTTTTTTTTTTTGGCTTGGTTTGGTTTGAAGAGGGTAAAGAAATTTGTGAGATTTTGAAAATTAAACCTAACCCTCAGATTTCATCTTATTTAAAGTTTTGTGTGAATGAAAAATTAAAGTTTCCTAATTTAACTAAAGATCAATTAAAAGAAAATTTAATCAAATTTGTACAAAATCAATCTTGTTTTTTTTTCAATATCTAGCTAATTACTTCTTTATTCATCATCAATTATGATGTACAAATTTATCATTGTCAATTATGATTTACAAGAAAAAATTGGATTTGTTTACAAGAATCAATACTTGGACGATGAAGATTAGAGCCAGATTGATATGGAAGCATGAGATTTGAAAGTGAATAAGAGTTTAGTTGATGATGATGAGGAGAAGTTGAATTGACACCAACAAGGTATAAACAATATACTTGGGTAAGGTTTGAACAAACTCTTCAAGCTCTGTTTCTGAAGCCGTCGGTGGATCGCCGCCCGCTTCTATTACAAAACGATCCATCTGTGATAGACCACCAAGATACGACCGAGACTAGTTAAAAATCCAAGCAGCTAAAGGTCCATACGAAAAGATGGATGATACAAGGCTGATGGTAAAGAAGTGATAATGAGTGTATTGGTAGCCAGTGATGTTGTTTTCAATTGCTCGAATGGTTGAGCGGTTACGCTTTGACAAGGTTCGGAGATTGGGCTTGAGTTTCATCTAAAAATTCAATATCAGTCATCCACCTTGAGATGATTTGCGTCTTTTGAATTGTGAATTGAATGACTTACCTTCTAACGAATCTTGAGCGTGGTCAAGTTCAGCTTCTTCTTTCTCAATCAAAGCTTCCTTTGCCTCTAATTCAGCGCGTAACTGTTTCTACTTCCGATTGACTGCCTCTAGTAGTAGCAATCGTGATCTAATGAGTCAAATGAGATAAGAGTTCAATAACCAGATGTGCGTTGAATCATCAAAACAATAGAAGACGATGAATAAAAGTCTTAAAAATGCTTTTGTTGATTATTGATTAGTGAAATCAATGGATTGAATTGAGAATGATGATTGATCTGATTCATAAAAGTTGAATGAAGATTGGCCCATCTTTGATCTTGATTGTTCAGGTAGTGGTGGTGGTAGTGGCAGTGGTAGTGGTGATCGTTGTTTCGAGAAGGAGTGGAATTGAATGCCATGGTGGAATTCTGATTCAAATTAAGAGAGTTCAATAAGATTGTGTCACCGTGGTAGGATGTTGTAGAAGGGAAGCGAAGCACAGTTAGAATGGACGGGATGGTGTCATTAGAGGAAGAAGATTATGTAGAAGAAACACTGACCTTTTGAAAGTCAGACTCAAGCCACATCTAATTCAGATCTGAGAGTAAGAATCATTATGAGGATGAGGAATCGGATGTCATGTAGCCAATCGAGAGGCAACGTGAGTTGACTTAAAAGATCCTCCAAAGTCCTTAGCGTTGAGACTACAATCAACCGATGATGATTGGTAGTGTGGTTCAATGTGTGGACTGGTACATACCAGTTGAGCGGAATTTCCATGTTCAGCCCGAGCTGAGAGCTCAAAGATGGTCAGGCTTGTGATTGTGGAATTTTTGCCTGAGCACTGTATAAGGCTAGGACACACAAAGGTACATAGGATTGGACACATTTGCAACACATTTGCGACGCTGCCAACCCCCCTCAACGTCGAGGGGGGATCTGGCGGTCCTTGTGTATGTATACTCTCTGATCAGACTCTATTCTGATGACACAATTCTCTTATCACATTCAAAAACTCATAGTATTGATTGCAGACACGTCAACCAGTAAATGTATGTAATTATTTAATTACAGCCCTCTACACAAGCGGAGAGGGAGGTTTGTCTATGAGGGTCACCAAATCTGAGAGAGGAACCAGTGGTCGCTTCATATCCAGGTTGAAATAGGTCAACATGACCTTTTTGGCCGCCTTCAGCAGGAGCTTTACCAAATGATCAATACAATGGGCATAGTCCTTGTTGTGGAAGGTATGCCAGGATTTAAGGCCCACAATGTGAGATCTGGTCAAGATCATGCACCTCTAGAATTGTGGCCTGATGCCATCATCCCCAATTACGGCCCTGACATGCAGTGTCTGGAAGTTGTCTTATCTGCGCAGTGAAAAAGGACCTCAAGAGCTTGAGAATTGATATTACTCTCTCAGACTCTATTGTGATGACATAATTCTCTTATCACATTCAAGACCTGATAGTATTGATTGCAGACACGCCAACCGGTACATGTATGTAAGTATTTGATTATAATACAGCCCTCTATTCAAGCGGAGAGTGCGTGGCACATCCTGTATGGTGGAGATGGTCACACACGGTCGCAGGTAAGATTGATGTGTTACAATACTGTCAGAGCAGGGAAGATATCACTGCCAGGATTAAACACCGTCCCTAATGGAATAACAATCACTTTTGCATTGATTGCTAAGCATTTATATGGCAAAAATTAATTACCCCAAAAAAGCAACACATTATCCCAATTAGGACAGTGTTTAATCCTGGCAGTGTATGGTTCAAAACAGAACCTTATGGACTATATCAATTTCAATTCCCACGATTTGAGTTAAACTCACCTGTCAGAGCAGGGAAGATATGGTTCAGGACAGAACCTTATGGA